GTGGGATGAACTTCTAATGGGTGTGTACAGCTGTCTCTTTGTTATGGAGTGGGATCAGGGATTAAAATGACTTCTCAAATGTGCACGCACTGTAATCTGTTTCGTCTTCTTCAATGGTTTAATGGCACTGGTGGACTCTGGGAGGACAGGGGGGTACCCCCATGTACGAAAACATGCAGCCAAAGGAAGCCCCTATGGTAGATAAAACATGATAAAGTGCCTGTGGACAAAACGTGATGAAATGGCCTCTAGGGTGTTAAATCAGGTCTCCCACAGTAGAGCCATGAACTGATTCCCCAAAGAAACTTCTACCTGCCTCGGAGCTTTCACTCAAAACTTTAACAAAAAATGTCAATTGCTAGAACATTGAGTTTGCCACGTTTACCGCTGTGCCTCTACAGAGACTGAAACCAAAACCTGAACTCACCGTCCGTATCTGGCAACCCATGCTAACGCCAGAGATACTGCTTCCAGTCTTTATGCTAAGCTAGGCTAACCACGTCCTGACTCCAGCTCTCTACTGAACACTCAGACCTATTCAGATCTCCTGAAAAAAAAAATGGAGTATTTGCCCAAATTTTACACTATTCCTTTAATATAAGCATCCACCTGTTTCTCTCTCTCTGTTAAAACATCTCGCTTTACCACTCTCTCTGTAATTATTAAAACATCTCTCTCTCTCCTCTTTGTCCCTCGTTGTGAATGCTGTACCAACAGTGTTCTTGCGCTTTTTGCTTTTGTTTGTTTTTCTACCAAACACACACACACACACACACACACACACACACACACACACACACACTAATTTCCTGTTTTATTTCGCTAAGTCAGCACACCAACCAATTTATCATTATCTCTTTCTCCCATCTATCTCTCCTCTCTCTACTATTTTTTCCCTCTCATATTTAAATTTGCTTTATTTGCATGACCATCATATCAAGTATGACAAGGTTGGACAAGGTTTACAATATTACTGTAATCATTTAGAATGTAAGATAATATGTGGTTACTGTATTATAGGGCTGTCTCTGACCAAAGAGTTTTTAGTCGACTAGTTAGATAATAGCCAATAGTGGACTGATCAATAAGATGGATGTTGTATAATTAACACAAATTAACCGGCTACAAACTCGCTCTTCTCCTTTCACTCACAGCTCCTGTTTGATACTATTTTTGTTTTTCTGCAAATATCCGACTAACTTTTTCCACACCGGACATTTTAACTTGTTATAGCAGAAAAAGCTGGTGGAACTGATAGCGTTAATGATGGCTCCATACTAGCAATTGTTGCTAATCTCCATAAACAGATATCTGTACATGAATGTAGATGAATGCAGCTCATAAAAAGCTAAATTGCAGTCAGATAATCGCTGCATCTCTTCTGCTCCTCACACAAACTACCTGCATGCAACCACAGCCCGCTCAAACGTGACTGATCAAAACTACTTGAACCACAGACAGGACCCAGCAGGCCTCCGATGCCAAGATTTCCTCTGTTGCCTGCAGATTCTGCATTTATTTGCACATCTATGTTTAAAGAGATTATAATTTCACAGACTGACAGAGCAAGCTGCTGCTCAGCTCATGTCCAAAGATCTCGATTAAGGTGATTAAAATATTGATTTTGTGTCAAATATAACTGAGGGATTCTGCTGTCGTTAGCTGTTGGTCAGTACCTAGCTACGGCATGTGGGGCTGGAAATTGACGTTTGCTCGCTGCTACTGCTAGATCTCTTATTGACCAACAGACATGACTCTGTTGTTTGCTTTTTTGGTGAACAGCACAAACACGCAATCCTTCTAATTAACTTTACTTGTAATATAACAAAACAATAGAGAGTGACATTTCCCTCCCTAAGAAACATACATGCAGAAGACACAATGCACACAGATGCACATTTAACAGTTTCCTTTCTTAGTTTGGCTAAATCGTAAAATAAATGTTGATACATCTGATCAAATCTAGGAACGAGAAGTCTGCTAACAGCATTGACTGTACACAGTGAGGTTGTAGTCATGGGACATTTTTCATTGTTTTAAAGGCATGCAGTGGCTCAAACTATGTTTCCCTGACAAGGACCTCTGTTGGCCTTGTAAAAATGTTTTTTCTTCTGTGAAAAGAAAAGACTGATATAGTGTGACATTGTTGAGCATCATTGTTTGTATAGTGGATGGATTGTTTGACAAGGCCTCTGACTCAGGCGGCAACCTCCCTGTACGGCAAATGAAACCAACATGGAAGTGCCAAAAACTGCAGTTCCTCGAATGGCCACTCGAGGCTGACTACAGAAGTGAGTCAATCTCCTTAAGGCCCATATTAAATTTTTGCTAAAACACAATTTGGCAAACTAGGCTGGTTTTATCAAAATACTTAACACAATTCACAAAACCACATACCAAAACTGCAAAATACCTCATATATACTGCAAAATGAAGCACTGCAACCCAAACTACAGATAGCATTATCAAAATCAAACCTTTGCACCAAATGGCACACACTTCATTCATATCACCAGATTTTTGTCCAACCAACTACACACTGTTGGGCATAATGAAAAGCACTCTCATCTTTAGTATGCTTTGCCATCATACTAAAATAGTTCCAATTGTAGAAAATTCTTCAGATAGTTCACATGCACAGAAATATTTGCAGATACACACACATGCTGTTGAAACATTTATTTTTATATTTTTCACCAAACAAGTCAGTGCAACATATGCCCAGCAGATATATTTACATTGGATTGAACAAAAATGATGCTAAAAAAAAACAGTAAACTGAAAAAGAAAATTGCAGAAAAAAAATATAATCTAAAAAACACCTGTGGTCTTATTATAGTGCTTACTTCCTGATTGAAGTGGTAACAATTAACCATTGAGGTGTTTGGCCAGGTGGCACATATATTGGCCAATTAGCTCATGTAGTGTCATTTTGAATGGCAGTGTTTTGAAATCGCAAACATGTGACTTTATGTCAGATTGTTGTGTCTTATGCAGAGAACATTTTGAATTGCAAAATGTGTGTAAAGCAGAAAATGTGTTTAGAGTTTTGGAGACTCAAGAAGAGGTTTTGTTCTCTGTCAGTTTAAATAGTCGTGCTATGCATGTCATCTTAGTGTGTTAGCAACTGGAAAAAACTGTTACAGCAGAAATAAACTTGTTTACAGCCTGTACAAAAACAGTTTTGTTCTCTATATTTTGATCTTACATGAAATGTACCCATTTAAATTAGTTTTAATTAAGGATGTTGCTGTTTTGAGTGAGGACCTCTGTGTCTTAACCTAACAAACCCCAACTAGAAGTGGCAGATCATAAACAGTAATATGAATAGTTCTGGAAGGCATTGATAAACGACGTCCCGACTATAAGGGCATCAGATTGGAAAATGCTTACATGGGTTGTTTTGGAAGGTAATGAAAAATAATGTATTTTGTCACACACACATACACACACTCACACACACACACACACACACACACACACACACACACACACACACACACACACACACACCCTGTGTATTGGTGCAATGTCAAAACAAACACAGGTCCCTCCAGGTTGACTTTGTCTTATCCTGTCCATGTGTGTACTTAGTATGTGTGTACTCTGTGGGCACGTGTCCCCTCCTCTATCCCTCATACTGCAAAGAGCTCGGTAGCTCCTTAGTCAGCATGTTAACTTAATTAACTGAGTGTGTGAATGTGTGTGTGTGTTTACATGTTCTAATGCATTGTCCATCTCAAGGAGGATTTGTGCATGGTCTGTGTTTGTGAAAGTGGGTGTGTGTGCTTGTGTGAAGGAGAGTTACGTGTTCATGTATGTGTATGTGTGTGTGTGTGTGACAAGAACAAACGGCCATGACCGACCCATTAGTCATTGCTAGTTAACAAAAAAAACAGGTGTAAGAGAAAAACAGGAAGGAGGAAACTGGATGCATGATATATGATGATTGCATTGCAAGAAGGTCCTGGGTTTGAATCGAGTTTGAGTTGCTCTACGCTCATTGGCTGCACAGTTTTGGCTCGTCCGTAGCAGGAAACAATGGCGGCTCGCGTGTTCACACACAGTCTCGTATTACAGCTTAATAGTACACTAACATATGTTTCTGAAAAGATTTAAAGCAAGAAATAGGCAATGCAGTAAGCAATATTTGATCAGCTTTACCTAGTTTGACAGTTTCGTGTGGTGCACTGGACTCACTCTATATATACCGTCAATGGTTACACCTCATGAACTACTTCTGACATTAGTCATTAGTTGTTGCTAAATATTTACTCCCACTAACTGTTAGATGTAAATGTTCTGTAGCTGACTGAAGCGACTGACAAAGCAAATGCAAGCTTGCTGATATATAATCATTGAATCAGAGGTAATATGGAATACCGTCGACGTATCTGACATGAAATTTGATGAATGCTGTTTAATAATAAATATTGAAGAGTTTAAATTCACAAAAAAATTGAACCATTATGCTGATAACATAAGGCTAAATAATGTCAGTTAACTTAGCATGATCAACTATTTCCCACTAATTAAACTTTACTGCTGTGAAACACATTTCTCCATGTATGCAGACGTAAATAAAACAAGAAAGATATTTGCTAGCTTGTGATGCTACAATAACTTGTTATGGTTACATGGTAAAGGTTAAATGCACTCCACTTATTTAGCGCTTTTCTACCTTAAAGGACAGTGCTTAACAATCGGCCTCTCATTCACTCCAATGTCCAACGACAGTTGATTGCTCTTACTTGGACGATGCTATAGATGTTTCCTAGCATCCAACACATTATTTAAGTCTTTACTAAAAGTGTAGTAGTTAGAAGTTAGTTAGTAGTTACTACAACAACTTAGGAAGAACTTAATGGTCAAACTAAGAAATGGATTTATAAATAGCAGCTAGAACCCAACAGCCTATACAGTCATAATTTAAATTTAAAGGCAGCACTAATAACTACATTATAACTAGTTTCACACTAAACTCCATGAGTCATGAGAAATTGGATCAATATTTCTTGTGTTTATTTTCAAGTTAGAAGACAATACAATAGACAACTACAGTATGTCTACCCACAGTACCCTCTCTCAAGCACTGAATAAGCCAATAGCAGGCCTCCAGAGCAGATCAGTGCACAGCAATGATCACAGCTTCATACACACCTCTTTATGATAAAGACGAATAATCATTTATGAATGGATTTTTTTTTAATTCTTGGAATTACTGCAAAAATTAAGTCATTCATTTATACGTACAGTTCCTAAAAGGGTACATTCAGCTTTCCTGCACTGGAAGCTGAGAAGTTGTGCACATTCCTTGTGTCTTTCCGGGGGAGACGAGTGGCCACGGGGCTGAAAGCGGACGAGACTGCCTCCCCTTCCCTCAGTGCAGGACTGATGAGGAAAGCTTCCGGGAGTCTCTGCTGGGCCTTTTTGTCATCAACCACTTCCAGCACCATGGACAGCGCCAACACAGCACGTCTGCTGCACTGTGCTCAACATAACAAAACAGTCCTGTGCGTAGCTGGGTCAAAATGTATCTGACTGCAAAAAAACAAACAACAACAACAAATAAAACAAACAGACAATAAAGTACTTTTATCAGTTTTCTCTCTCACACTCAGTTGCAACTTTATTAGGTACACCTAGCTAAAACTGATCGCTCACTTATGCACAAAGAGGATGTTACGCCATTATGACAGGCGAGCGGTGAAACACACCATTATCTGAGTTTAAACATTGTTGGAAACATTTGGGATAATCCAAGTACACAACTCAACAAAATATATACATTGTAGTTCTAGTGTTTATAGACATTTTAATGTGCAAATGTTACATATTATAGCTTTAATGTATCAGATTGTTGACAATGCATTGAGATGCGTATCGCATCAGTCCCAGTGATGGAGATGAACATCCTTATTATACATATATAATAAGGATGCAGTTTGCAGTTTGTTTGTAAAAACACAACTTTAGTAACACAAGGGTCATATTTTGATCTCAATAAAATACATACAGATAAACTGCATTTGCATACAAACTTGAATTTTGTTGCCTCAACTCACTCCCAGACATTTTGGTTAGCTGTGGGAATGAGAGGCAGAGCATTTCAAAAATATTAAACTATTTGGTGGATCAGATACACACTGAATTAATCTTTCCCAAAAATAAGGGAAAGCATAATAGCCCCCTCTTTAAATTCTACTATTTCTAAAATTTGTTTATATTTTGAAACTTTTTTTTACTTTGCATTTGAATGCAAAATTCCCCAGTGTCAGAAATGTGTGCTTTATAATCAATTTATGTGTGTCTCATTTTTGTTACATTTGTAAACATAAATACTGAAAATAAGTTTGTTTATTTGTTGTTTTTATATTGAATGTTCCAAAATGCAAAAAAGAATTATCGAGCTCAAGTATTGTCGCATTATCTCCTTCTGGAACTGTGTTCTTTCACAGTGACTATATCAGTGTAAGAGGTTACTGCTGAATATCATAAGATATTACGATCTCAAACAGATACGACATTGCCTCACATTCCTGTTTTCTACTGAGGCAAACAATTCTTCCGAAATCTGTATTTCTTATACCAAAAACTTCAAACCTGCCAGGTTTACTGCCCAGTTTCCTAGTATTAAGTAGGTCTAGGCCTTACATTTTAAAGCGTTACATTTACACTTGTGTTTTGTCCTGAACTCTTCTCACAAAGCCACAACAAATCAACAAATCTTCTGCTGTTAATGAGAGTGGATTTGTAAGTGTTGAGTTAAAAAAAATGTATTTGTTAACTCACAAAGCTGCTATGGGTCTGCTGCAAACACCCAACACTATCTAAGAGAAAAATTAATTCACTGGTTGGATTTAGTTTAAGTCCAATATACAGTAATTCAGTAATGTTTCTGAATTGGCTGGCTTCACATAGTCTAATGGTTGACCTGGACTCACAAAAGGAGTGAATACCTCTCCTTCCAATTCAACTATAAGTGTGTTCATGTAAATGGGTCGATGCCAAGTTGTAGGCATCCAGATAAATGAATAAATCCTTAATAAAAATACATAAACTAATCAACTAACCTTCCATTATTTGTATATGGACATTAATGTTCCAAATGTAAAATGTAAGGATTTATAGTCATAAAAATGATTCACTTTTTTATATACAATTTTGTAGTGGACAATCAACTGGCTGCTATTCATCTTTATGAATGGATTTGAGGTAGAAGCTCTGGCTTCCTTGAGTTGACCAGCCTGTGGAGGCAGAAGATTCCCTACCTGGAGGATCCGGAGAGGAAGATGAGGAAGGCGAGGAGATGAGCAGGAAGCGATTCAGGAATAAATTGTCTGACATCGCAGAAGAAGACCCAGTGTCTGCGCCCTACTCTAGCCCAGACCCGGAGGCTCCAGGAGAAGATCAAAAGAGGAAGACGAAGGTGACAAGATGAGCAGGAGGCGATTCAGGGGCTTGGAAAAACTGAATGACGCTGTCTCTGACAGTGACACCAATGCTGAGGAAGAAGACCCAGCGCCTCGCCCGCACACAGCCTTGTGCCTCCAAGATCCAAGAAGAGGGCCAGGGAGGATAATGATGATGAAGAGGATGGGAGAGGAAGCAAACAATCCAGACTCTGAGTTTGCTGCCCGAGAGTTGACTCTCACTCCCCATCTCCAGAGGAATTTACAACTATTGTTCACAGAGCTTGTATCTCTTATAACATTGGGTAGGGAACTCCGTAGGTTTGGCGCATAGTTAAAAAAGGCTGGGCTAGTTTGTATTTTAAAGGATTATAAAACGACAACTAATTGGCAAAAAACCTCCCTTCATGAATCTATAATGTTCAGTTTTAGTTGTTGATTCAACTGTGTGATCATTTTGGAGGCTGCAGTTTGTGGTGCTGTTTGTCTACCCAGTTTATGTCAGTGAGGGTTGGCTGAATAACACCTCTCTTTATAATTCAAGGCCTGGGTTTGCTTTCAGAATAGGGGACACATGGAGTAAAAAATAATTTAATAAAATAATTTAAAAAAAGATATAAAAAGGTATATTATAGATCGCGTTAGGACCTTATTATATATAATATGAAACTAAATATATGGAATGAAATCAGAAATTGCACTGTGCCATCTTATGTTTTCGAGACCGGCCTAATATTATTCCTAACAGACCTTCCTGCAAGAGGAGTGGGACTATGAGTGAGTCGGCACAGCTTCTATAAGAAGCAGTCCTAAGTAATGAAGAGATAATTAACACCCTGGCGAATGTGGGCCAATATTCGTGCTGGTACTGTAGCTGTATTTTCAAACACAATGCATAGGAAGCAGCAAAAGCTTTCATGTGGTTAAAGCAGGAAAGTCAGTAAATCAGTCACTGATCTATGTAGTAAGGTGGGTGATTCTTACAGTATCTGCTGTTAACAGCTCATGAAGTCCCTGCAGCATCTGAAGACATGGATGGATATGTTAAGGTATTTTAAGTGCTGCATCAGAGCGCAGTGTCATTACCCACAACTATTTGCTGAGCTTACCTTCATTAAATCGCCTGAAATCGAGCTGCTGCAATATATACATACAGGGCCCTATCTTGCCGATCTGAAACGCAAGTATCAAACGCAAAATGCAAGTAGCTTTGTGGGCGGATCTCGGCGCTGTTGCATCTCATGTTTGTTCTCATGTTTTGTCTTTGAAATACAATGCAATGCAAACGCTGTAACATTAATTACTGAACTATAGGACCATGTACGAGGTGAGATACGTCCCGGAGGGGCTGCGAGCCGAGCTGCTGCTGACGTTGGATTGGAATTTTTGATCACTACATTTTGGGTGCAAATGTATCATCTGAGAATAACATGTCATTGTGTTCATTGCTTTTCCAATAGACAGACAACAAATACTTTCTGATGTGATTACCTTAGACCTTGCCGAGTTGTAGCTAAGTTGTGGCTGCAAAGTGTTAACTCTTCATGTCTCATGAGTTCCTGCTTGTGCTAGCTGTATTAGCATCCACAGAATCCTCATCGCCTGAATAGGTGTCATCATGCCGTCTTACCAGGTGAGTATTAAGATTTATTGTGCTACCACTGTACCTCATTGTTGTCCCACAGATCTTACAAATGGACAGATTTTTCCAACTCTCCTTCCTTCTTATAGAATCCAAACGTCTTTCAAACTTGTGTTGGCGTTGTTGGACGCGTTGGTTTATGTACCGACCTCACGAGCCACACTAACGTTTCTCTCATCACAGGACCCTAGTGTTCACCTTTAACCTTTCACTAGAGTGGAGACACTGTTAGCAGCAAAGCTTCAGTCAACAGATTGATAACTTTAGAATCAGACCATCAACTGGTTCATGGTACATTTAGATCCATCCAGGGGTCTGCATACCGATGTAGTCACATCTATAACGTTAAAACTGTTATACCCCTAACACATGTGCACTTTTGGTCTATTTCAATCCATAGTTTGCAAAATGTGCATCATTTTGCAGATAATCACGTGTCTAAGAAAGAAGAGCTTTGTTTGTATAAACTGGCTTAAAAAAATATGAAGTTCTGTCATGGCCCTGCTTTGCTGTAACCTGTGTCTCGTTTTCCCCCGTCTGTGTCAATGGCAGTATTCGGAACCGCCTTCTACATCCTTCCAACACATGCTTAGTAGCATGCAGTATGCTAAACCTGGTGTCGCAAAGTGCAAGTAAACAATAGCACAGGTAATGGCGAACCACCACTAGTGTATAGCATCCCACAAAAAAAAAGAGAGGTTATATGTATTAATATTATCTATACATTTGTTATGACCATGACCATGAGAAGTAAAGTATCATCAAAGCATATTATAGAAGGTTTACAATGCAAGTATATGAATTAAGAATGAAAGTGTATAGATTATAGACTATAATCATATAACTCATTTCTATCTATCAGATTTTTTTTGTTAAATATATAAAAGTGTGTGAAAACATGTTTATGACTACATGACAGCTACTTCCACTTATGAAGACCAGGTATAAGCCCTGAAAAAACATAGTAAGTGGACCTTGAGTTTATTTTCTGTCAATTTAATTATTTATACATGTCACTTAAGTCAAAACATTCCAAACTTAATCTTCATATTTTGGTGTTTTTGTGTTACAATTTCTTTTTTTAATTGCGTGTACGCACACAAGGCTATCCATTCCTCCGTTTTTCAGTATGACCAAGTCTACAGAGCAGAAAAGGGAAGGGGAGATGAAGCCGAGGAGAGGAAGAGAGGGAGTACAGATGGAGAGAAAAGCTGCTGAAGGGAAAGGAGAGCAGAGATGAGGAGATAGAAAGACGGAGCAGGAGAGAAAAAGAGAGCCAGAGAGTTCAGCTGATCTTCACATTTGATCACACATTCTCACGCAGAGCATGAGGAGGAGGAGGAGGTGAAAAGACAGTCTCCCAATGCAGAGGGGATGAGAAACTGGGCGGAAGAGGAGGGCATATAGATGGAGAGAGAGAGAGAGAGAGAGAGAGAGAGAGAGAGGAGGAAGGGAGGGACGGGAGAGGTAGTGAGTGAAGTAGAGATAAAACGGGAGACTGTTTTCACTGCAGCAAAAAAAAACATTCACCATACAGTGCAGTGTCAGTATATGTGAATGAATGAGAAATATGTGTATATTTCTTATACAGTATATCCGTGTATGTTTTTAGCAACTCAGAAAAGCTGACAGTGCATTTTCAGTTTGTCAAACAGGGCTTTTAGATGGGTTTTAGGAGCCTGAAGGTCATTGAACTCACCACGGGCTCCTTCAAAAGACAAAAATATAATAAAAGCATAAACTAAAAATAATATGACCTTTCCACAGACAGTGTCTACTTCCTATGTCCCCTCTGTCCAAATTGGAAAAAGGTTGAAGATAAATGCCCACCCTCCGGACTTTCTCTCATACTGCGATGTGTTCAACATCAATTATGCAAGGCTGCTGTGAGGGGATCAAATGTGCTGTCAGACAGATTTTGTATCTGTAAGTATGAAGCTACCAGCAGCAGCTGATTAATTTACCTAATAAACATTACAGGTCTCCTAAAAATTATATCTATGACTAAGTGTTTTGCCGAATGAGTTTTGAAATAAAACATGGTCGTTGTCTGGTTCATCTTCACAGGCAATGTTTTGGGGTTTTTTAAATGCAGGGTTTTCCACATCCTTAGTCCTGTGTGTGGTCAGGTTTAGGTAGGTTTGTGCTTCAAGTCAGAATACTCAAATTTATGTTCAATATTGAAGAGGCACTGCGCACTTAAAGATGAAACGGAAATCAGTGTTTGTGCCAGTTGAGTGCCATCTGCTTCCACATATTACATATTTCCTGTGAAAACGGGCAGCTAGGCAGGGACTTGTAGCGGTAGCCAGTAGCTCAGTGTGTTACGTTTTCCCAGTCAGCAGCTATAGTGGTCCGTCTCTGCTGGTGAACAGTGACCAGCACAGCCAGACCCGGACCAAATGGAGAACAGTTTGACAACAGAATAAAGTACCAAGGTGTTTTTTTTTTGGGCGAACTTGGCTCCTGCCACATCTGGGCTAAGTTAGCTAATGTTAGCTGCACAACCTAACTAGCTAATAGCATCTAACATAACTGTCAGCAGTTAGCTGATTTTAGCAACAAGTCCATCTGTAAACTCTGTACATCACCTCGGTACCGCTGTTGTTAAACTGGCCTCTGTCTGTCTCAGAGGTTGTGTTCATTGGGAGACTGCACCTGTTCGGTTGCATGCTAACGACAGCTACAGCAGCAGTTAGCTGAGTTGAGGAAGAATATTGGCTTTGTATCGCTAAATGTTGAAGATTGATTGACAGATGAATTTCATGATATAATGGGTTGAAATCAGTTAGTTCATGCTTATGTAAGCGTGTGTCACATTTTGTTTTACAGGAATAAATAAAATTTGGATTTTAATATAAAAGTACAAAGAAATGTATGCATTTGTACAATTTCCTAGGATGTAATCTTAAAGGGTTAAATGCAATTTTTCATTTCACCTGGACTCAAAAAATGTCTCAGCACGATCTCTACTGTTTCATATTACTGTGAACCTTGCAAAGGCAAACACTGACATAGAGCTGACTGTTTGGGACTACTTTATTTCATGACATTTATATAAGAAAACAGTGTTACCCCCCTCTAATGAGAGGAGGGCAGTTCACCTCCCCCAGCTTTTCACAGGAGTCCATGCTAGTTTTTGCTAAATGTTCTGGGCTTTTTTGATACTATAGAAGCACCACCGGACTTGATCCCCCACCCACAGACACACATACCAGAGAGTTAGCCTCGTTGAACCACTAGCTTAGCTACAACACAGATACAAACAGCCATGAATGTGCTTCTAGTGACTGTAAAAGCTCAGTGGACTCCATTGTTTCCAGCGTGGACACGGAGCCTCTGACTACCAGCTGACTGTCCCTGCTACACTTCTGTGGTCAGTCTTTCTCTCACTCTGGTCGTAATGAAGGCCACGCCCCCCACTGTGGCTGTCCTGCGTAGCACTTTTTATGATTTATTTTTTTACATTTTGTTCCTTTCAAAGCATATCTGATGTGGAAGTCCTTACTCCATGCAGAGCTTTCACCCAGAACAAGCATGAGTTTGGGTGCATGTGGGTGGTTTAGGGTATTCCACTAACTGAGGCCATAGTACACTGTGTGTGTGTGTGTGTGTGTTTTGTGTGTGTGTGTGTGTGTGTGTGTGTGTGTTTTCCAGTGACGTTGTAGTGGACCCTTTACAGCAGAGCACAGTGCTGCAGACTGCTACAGACCAACACAGCACATTAGCTCTGCACTAGTGAGAGAGAGAGAGAGAGAGAGAGAGAGAGAGAGAGAGAGAGCGAGGGGACAAGCTGTAGAGATGATAAGGGGAGGTGGAGAGAGAAATGGAGAGAATATATACCGTGTGAGAGAAAAAAAAAGAGAGAGAAAATGGGAGAGTACTAATGATCTGATGGTCTGCAGTCTTTTCTCCCCATTTTGTGGAGCTCAGCAAATACTCGTTCTGCTTCTGCCCCCCACCCCCCCTCTCTCTCTCTCTCTCTCTCTCTCTCACTGGTGGTGGAGGGACTATCTTGGAAAGGAAGAGAGAGAGAGGGGGAATGGGCGGTGGGCGTGAAACACTCTATCATATCCCTCCTGCTCCGCTCTAATTGAGCCAAGTGTTTTAGTAGATTGAAAGACAGTGTGGAGGAAGGGAGTGATGCAGCAGAGAGAAAGAGAGAGAGAGAGAGAGAGGGAGAGAGAGAGAGAGAGAGAGAGAGAGAGAGAGAGAGAGGACAGACGAGAGCTTTGGTAAAGGAGACTCATTTTTATGCAGGATACTAAACCAAATCTTAAATAGAATGTTGAGTATATCAATCGTTTTGAGATCTGTTACTTTACATGTATGTTTACTTGATATACTGTATGTGATGGATGTTTTTTTTTATCACCTGGAACATTAAAAAACTGCTGACACATAATCACGTCAATAATTTAACTGTCAGAAAGGAACCGTTTTACTGAATGAGCAGCATTAAGTACATTTTAATGTTCATATGTATTGACTCAGGTAAAATGTATGCATCCATTTTCTGTACCGACTCACAGCGCTGGATTGGTTGCTCCAGTTCGTCATAATGCCATTAGTTCGACTGTTAGTAGTTCATATAAACCACTGGCTAGTTTCTGATTTACTAAATATGGATTTCACCATAAAAAACCTAAGAAATAATTTCTCTAGTAGACTTTAATAATGTGTTAATTGGTAGGCAGGAAACATCTATAGCGCTGTAATCAGGAAGTCATTGTAGCATTACAAGCTAGCATAACTTCCAGAAATGACAGTTTCATAGGTGCAAAAGATTTAAATGTAAATACAGATGTGCTGAGTATGTTTGCATACATGAAAACATTTTAGTAGTTTTCATACAGTTTATAATAAGGGGGAAATATCCAATTATGCTTAGCTAATTTGCATTATGTGCTCATGTAATCTAATTATTAGCATAATGTTTTATCATTTGAGGTATGTTGTGTTGTTTGTGTAAAGTGTAAATTAAAATGTTCAATATTTACATGATATTTAAACAATATTTATCAAGATTAGTTGACCATATGTGTATGTGAAAGATTCCTGGATGTATACTAGATTACTAAGAATATCTGAGTATACACTGTGAGCTTGTGTCTATCTGACTGTTCCTCTCTCCCATTTTTTTAACGTTCATTTTCCTGAAAATAATACTGGAAAATATTACATTGAGTGTAAGAGGAATTGATTTACATTTTGTGATAAATTATTTTCATTCAACAGTAGCTCGGATCGTTAAGTTGTGATCGGTCTGGAGTACAACGCTGTGTCAGTGCTCCTTGTAATCGACAGCCATGTGATACAGAGAAGATGTATGTTTGAATATAGTCGGCATACTTTATCGTTCATTTGCAGTATGTAGTACATACTGACTGAGTATGTAGTAGGCAGTACGTTAGTATGTGATTTTGAACACACACTAAAAATTTTAAAAGTAAAGGTTATATATAGTAAGTTAACTTGCCACTAGAGCATCAGAATAGAGAATGAGAAAGCAGATTGATCAATAATTTAAATAATCTTTAGTTACAGCCCCAGTCCAGGCAGCAGTCATCACACTGATGACTGCAGTACTCTGAGAAAGGTTTATTGACTATGACACTTTTAATTATCTATTTATTTGTGTGACATCAGAATATAAGCCATTTCGTCCAATAAAAGTTCATTCTCGAAGGGTAAAGAGTAAATCTTTACAGCTCAGCCAGAGTAGATTTGAGCTTGATGTATTGTTTAACGACACCTGAAACCCAAATCACCATGCCTTTTGTAACTTTAAAAAATGGACAATTGGACAATCAGGGCTTCTTTAAACACTGCCCAGGTGTGTGGCGGTTTGAACTTCTCTCTCAGCTCTCTTTTTTTATTACTCACTATTATTTATTCATTAGTTAGCTAGCTAGCAACAGGAGGAAAAAAAAAAAAAAAAAAAAAAAATCAGAGGACATGGTTTTTCTAATTAAGATATGTAATGGGGCCTCACTGATACCTGTACAAATAGAGATATCATTGTTCCTGTTATCATTTATACAAAAGCACAATTTTATTAGTGATTTGGGAGAAAATGGATCATATTTTATATAGAAAATATTGTCTGGTTTTCCCTCTGACATCCTCCGGCCGCTCTTCCTCTAATCGGCTAACTGCTGCTGCAACTGAACGGGGCTCAGCAGCCTTCCAGTGAACGCAACCTCTGAGACAGACAGAGGACAGTTTGATGACAGCAGATGGACTTCTTGCGAAAAGAAAATAACTGTCGCCAACAGTTATGTCAGATGCCCTTCACTAGTTAGGTCGTGCAGCTAACGTTTAGCCCCAGAGTGGCAGCAACCAAAACCAGCTAAAAACACCTCCGTACTTTATTCCCTGTCGTCAAACTGTCCTCCGTTGGCATCGGATGCTGTATTTGGTCACTGAGAGCTCCCGGTCCCGGTAGAGTCAGCTAATGGGTCCGCTAGAGATGCTTGACAGGGGGACATAACACACAGCGCTATTGGCTTGGGACACGTCTGTCCACATTCTTTAAGCTGTGCCTGTTTGTCATTGTTTTTTCATGATTCAATCTTAAAGCTCCAGCATTCAGTCATATTTCACACTCATATTTCACACTTTGAGATTCTTTTATGAAAAGTGCTTTACAAATAAAATGTATTATTATTATTATTATTATTATTACTATTATTATTTCGGACAATAATGTTCTCCCAATTTATTGTCTAAAGCAGTGGTTCCCAATCTTTTTCCTTAAGGGACTTAAGGTAAACTGACGACCCCGATAAAGTGATACATTTTATGGATGTTTCATATTGGAATATTTTATATTATACTCAACTGTACAATGAATGCAAGTAGTGAACACAACAACTGCAGCAAGTTTGTATAAAATGAGCAATTCAATGAATTTTGAGCTTTTTTTTATTATTTCCACAATGAAATTCTGAGACATGGGCCTAACTATTTCAAAGTTGTCTCACACCCCTTAAAGTCAAGAAGGTCTTGCAACCCCTGTGAAGGTTTGGCGAAGCCAGCTCCATAAAGAAATGGTAACAGTGAGCCATGACCTCACCCCCATCCAATACCTTTGGGATGAACTGGAACAGCGGCTGTGGGCCAGACCTCATCACCCAACATCAGGACTGGACCTCACTGATGGTCCAGGTCCCTGCAGCCAGGTTCAACTGGTGAGGAACCTGAAAGCAGAAGAGTGGAGGTTTAGCAATGACTGTGGCGTTCGGGTGTTCGAGCATTTGCAGTAAAAAACAGAACCATCTTGTTTCTGTCTCTCTCAGTTCAATAAATCTCATTTCTTTGCAGCTCAATCCAAGGATGCAGCAAATCTGACTGTGGCAGTGCCAACAGAGCACAATGGGAATATATTTGCTAAGGAGCAGTTTTAACCTTAATAACATCAAATGATCCCATAATATGAATTCGATCAGTCAGTCAATCAGGCAGTCAGTCATTCAGCGGGCAAATCTATTGATTCATAAAATCCGCATCCCACATAGGCTATCCTCTCTCTCTCTGTCTTACACACAGTTGCAGACACACACTCCCTCCCTCCCTCTCTCTCTCTCTCTCTCTCCCCCCCCTATCTCACTCACACACATATACGCAAACTCCTCCTTCCTCTCCTCCTCTCTCCTCCTCTCAGTTGCCCCTCTGACTCCTTGCCGGGACGGTATAACAGAAGCTTACAGAGCGGGGACAGGCGGTGGATGGGGAAGGGCAGTAGCCGCAGCAGCAGCAGCAGCAGTCGGGCGCATCGACCGAAGCATGCTCCAGCGCAGCCATGACTTGCTCGGCGTCAGATAGCGAGAAGATCGTGATCAACTGCGGCGGGATCCGACACGAGACTTACCGGAGCACCCTGAAGACGCTGCCGGGGACGCGCTTGTCTTGGCTGACCGAGCCCGACGCCTACAGCAACTTCGACTACGACCCCAAGTCCGACGAGTTCTTCTTCGACCGCCACCCGGCCACCTTCGCCTTCATCCTCAACTACTACCGCACCGGCAAGCTCCACTGCCCCAACGATGTTTGCGGGCCGCTCTTCGAGGAGGAGCTCGCCTTCTGGGGCATCGACGAGACGGACGTGGAGGCGTGCTGCTGGATGAACTACCGGCAGCACCGTGACGCCGAGGAAGCCCTGGACAGCTTCGAGACCCCCGAGCCGGACGCGCCCGAGGATGACCCGGCGCTCACCGGCGGGGCGGACGGCGACCTGAAACGGCTGTGCATGCAGGAGGACGGCCGCAGGGCGACGTGGTGGGAGGTGTGGCAGCCCAATATGTGGGCGCTATTCGAGGACCCCTACTCCTCCAAATACGCCCGGGTGAGTGACCGGACAGGTGTCTATTGTGTTCCTTTGGCGCGCGTTCGCATACCCACGTTTGGCACAGTCTGGGCCATTGCGCATTGTTGCGCGTAAAGTTGTGAGGATGTCAAATTCACTGTCGTGTTTTTCATCAAGTAGACAGACAGACAGACAGACAGACAGATAGATAGATAGATAGATAGATAGATAGATAGATAGATAGATGGATAGAGATGCGCCAGTATGTTCCTTTCTTCCGCCGCTCTTTTCTTTCTCTGCATTATATTCTGCTCATCACTTCGCTCCTTTCCTCTCCTCCACCTAACTGCCCTGCTGCAGTTCTTTTCCTTCAATCTCTCTCGTTGATATCATTGTGTAAAGATTTAATCACTGCTGATTTGTCTGTGCGCATCAGTCCATCCTCCTCTCTCCCTCTCTCTCTCTTCAGTGTCTGCCTGTGCGCCAAATGATTTCCACAGCAAAAAGCTGAACCGTTTTAATGCGGTTTAATTAGGAATGACTCTAATTTGGGATCCAGTTCTCTCCACTATCAGTCTGCATTTTATGTACATTGTTGTACAGTCCAATAATCAATCATCACAGTAACTGAAAGTGAAAATCCAAAGGTTGGCGTCTGCCTCCATTCATCCACTCTCTCTCTCTCTTTTATCTGTTATGTTATCGATGACACTAAACTAAAACCCTGTGAGCAGCAGCCACCGCTCTTTTCAGCCCATAGGTTGCTGGCTTTGTGCATGTTTGCACACGAATGCATTACTGTTTACTCATGAGTGTGTACCATAGGTATGCTGGCAGGTGATGGTGAATGCATTTGTATTTGTACTTGAGTGCCTGTGTGTGTGTGTGTGTGTGTGTGTGTGTGTGTGTGTGTGTGTTTGGGTAGATGATAGAGCAAACACTCTTGCGTTATAAAACACTGCTCTTCCTCCAGCATCCATCAGAACTGGCTGATATTAGTTTGTTTGCTTTTTGTTCAGACTGGAGCACAAATGAATCAAATATTGTTGTTAGCTTTTACATATCAGAGCTGGTTGAATGCTCTGCACTGCTTTACAGCACGGAGGTGAATTCTTTATGGCTCAAAAGAAAAGTGTGCGGTTGTCTCAGCACATAGAGCATGTAGCAGGAACCCGATGGCAGCATGAGAAATTGTTTTTGGGGAATATCTTGAAGGATCCAGTGTAAAAGAGCCCAGAACACCGAGCAATTGTGTTCTTATTAGACGATTCTTACGTCCAGTACAAAATCTGAACATAGCGTACCCTTCTTGTGGCAATTGCAGAGTAGGGTGATGAGGTCTCCAGGTTTTATGTAGGAGACTGGAGCAACCTTGATTTCTGCCTGTCTTCTATCAGAATGTGATGCGGAGGGTGGGGGGCGAGGTGTGCTTGCCAATCCTCAACACAAGGGTTCAGGGGTGTTGTAGAGAGAGGGCAAGGGGCAGGAGACAGATTCACACATTGAGCACCAGCAACAACTCTTCCACAATGGAGTTCCTTTCCCCCGTGACGATAATGAGAAGATCACGGAGGTCCTTAACAGTTTGGCCAAATCTGCGCCCCCTGGACCTGGCTCTGAGGCTGCGGAGTGGTTCAAAACTAATGTTAGCTTGTGTTGGTGAGAGAGTCATTAGGTACTTGAGGCCATTTTCATTCTCCTCTTTCAGAATTATTTTGGTACCAGCTACCAACAAGCTGAACAAACCAAATATACCTCAGAGTCCTGGCTGAATTGCCACAGAACTCATTTTAATTTACCTTCCAACTCCAAGGAGATGCAGACGAGTTAGTTCTGAGCAGCATAACAAAGTGTATAGTTGGAGATAATCACCTGTATTAATCACTGCTGCTCAAAGAATTGATACGCTCAATCCAAACGAAGGAAAGGAAGATTTCTATGATGCTTAGCTTTAATCCATTTCTATAACCAGTCACTCATTTCCTCTCTTTGTCTTTTATTTCCCCTCTTGCCCCATTTCTCTCATCTCTATCTGCAAACTCAATTGTTTTCTCTTCTCCCCTCCTCAGTTTCATCCTTTCCTCTCTGCACGGTCAGTCCTCCACCTCTCACCTGTGTCTCCCCCTGCCTTCCTTTTTGCTTAATTGTCTCTAAAAATCTATGGCCATTTGCAGAGCCAGAGGCTAGTGCTGACCTGGATCATTGTGAACTGAGGTGTATTTTCTGTAGACTCGGCCATACGCACAGAGACAGCATATTGACTTGGGATGGAGACACACAATCGGAGACACACTTACTACACACACACACACACACACACACACACACACACACACACACACACAATGTTTAGCCTTTGCAGGCAGTCTGTGGGACAATTTACAATAAATATCTGTATATCTTGATTTTCTGTTTGGTTGTTTTCCTTATTAGAATGATCATTATTAGCTAAGGCTGATTATTTTCATTATCGATCAATCTGTCAGTCATTTTCTCAATAAATCAATTTTTTCTGTTCGGCCCATAAAATGTCAGAAAATGAAAAGGTGAAGTCCTCAGAGACATTCACTTTACTGTCATAGAGGACTAAAGAAACCACAGAATTTTGACCATTTATTATCATTGCAGCTCTATTATTGGATTGCAAACACATGAATGAATGAATGTGTGTCTACATTCATTCCTCAAGACACTGGCACACAACGTCCACAGAGCCCAGATAATCCACCTAAAGTAAATTTTGTCATTTGCCTAAAACTGGAATTCTTGTTATCCAAAGACGCACACAAACGCCCCAGCGAATCTATGTGGAGAAGGGTGTCATGGGTAACCATGGTCTTTCCGTAAACTTAACCCAGTGTAGTTGCCAGGGACAGTATTGTATTGTAGAAAGCAAGCTTTTTTTACAGGATTGTCCAATGGCAGTAGGGTTGTCCTCCCCTGGGACAGACGACTAAAATACGCAGCTGAAATCCATCTGTGGATGTCCATGGGAAGCAGCTATACTAGCTTCCCTGTAGCTCTATTTTGGTTCCCAGGTGCACTGCGAGTATTTGTCAAATAGCAGCCTGTAACTTCTGCTTCATAAATGGCTCCAAAATAGATCTCTCTCCATAGTGCCTGCATATTTATAAGTACTGGTGTGTATATGCAAGAATCTGGTGATGCGATACGAGTCATGATACAGGAGTTATGATTCGATATATTGCGATATAAAGAACACACCGCCATTATGCATCAAAAAAGTTGACCTTTTCATACTACTAGAATTTGAAACATCCAACATCATAGCCCTGAGTTTGGGGTTTAAACACAAAAGTCGATACAGTGTGTTTGAGAATCAGTACAGTTTCCCAAACATATGGCGATACTCAAGTATATCGATATTTTCCTACACTACTATGTAAAAACCAATCAATAAACAACTTCTCTGGGTCCTTACTTTGTCATATAGCAATAAGTGAAGAACCACAACTGTTTGCTGTTTATGTTCACATGTACTTTTCATGTACAGGTGGAGTCACAAATGTGCAGCTGGGGATGTCTGTAGTTGCCAGTTGGCCTTTGAGCCCTGTCAGCTCATCAGAAGGGATGCAGTACTGAAGCAAGGCTGAGAACTGCTGGTTTATACCAAAGGACACCAAAGCAATGAGAGAAAGGGACGTTCACAATCTGCTTTGTCGCTGCTCCATCTCGTATTTAGCTTTTTAAGATGCCCCATGCAGCTTTTTCAATCATGAAACTCGACAAGTCAGAAAATTAAATGGCAGCCAAAAAAGAGCCGATCGAAGAACCAAAGGGGGGTGACTGTAAAAACAGAACACCGGTGTGGTGTCATGGTGGGGGGGTTGGGGAAGCATCGGTATGACAGCTGAGGTGACTTTGAAAGTGTTGCAGTCAATAGTTTCGGTGCCAGCGCGGTGACATGAAGATAGGTTGGAAGGGGTGGGGGGGGGGGGGGGGGTGCAGCACAGCTACAGCAGCGGCAGTCGCGCTCAGGTGGGCTGAGGTCAGGCGGCCGGCTCGGTTTTAGCTGATTAGCTCGGTGGAGAACGACGAGGGCGAAGCCGCTCGTCCCTGCCAACGTTTCGGCCGAAGAGGACGGAAATGTTCGAAGACAGCGATGTAAAATTAATGACTGGATCACTTGTTCAATTCGTGCGTCTGTCCATTAAGTATGTGCAACATCCTTGCAAAGACAGCAGGGTTTTCCATTTCTCCCTGTCTTTCTTCTTCCTCTACAGTCTGAACAGTCCTCTCCCCCCCGTTCTTTTTCTCTCCGTCATCACCACTGACAGCTCGTGCTGCTTTATTACCACAATTTCAGAGCTGAGTGCTGGATTGCTTATTATCGCTATTCAGCCCCCCAGCTCCCGCCACGTCCCCTCCCTCCCTCCTCTGCTCCCCCCCTCCTCCTCTCGTTCTCTCCAGCTCTCTGCTTGTGCTATAGCGTAACACTGCAGTCCCCGTAGTAGCTGACTGCGCTCTAGTCTGCTGCAGAGAAGGAGGGAGAGAGACACGGAGAGAGGGGAGGGGGATGACAGGACGGGAGGTGTTTTTTTGGTGAGGGTGGTGATGAAATGAATTCAGAGTAAGAAGCAGTAGAGGAGGATGAAGAACAGGAAGGGGGTCACTTTCTGTACCCCCTCGTTTTTCGTTCCCGCTGCTCTTTTTTTTCTTCTCCTCTTTTCTGCTGAGCTCGGCAGGCTGGGACGCTCGTATCTGTTTATTGATCGGGCAGTACGTCTCAGCTCGCCTCATTCAGGTGGACGTCTCAGCTGAATGGTGCTCCTTTGTAAGCAAAACCTTCCCACACACATATTCCTGCTCTCCCCCTCTCCTTCTCTCTCTCTCTCTCTCTACATTCTTTCACACAGCGGGGTGTGATGGCAATTCCCGTTCCCCAAAGGAGAGAAACAAATACGAGCACAGTGGCAACACGCACCCACACTTACACACACTTACTGTACCACCACACGCAGAAATTGTGGCTCTGTTAATGTCATTTTGACCTCATTTCCAGAGGCTTGGTTGCACAA